CCAACAAAAATTGTACTGTAACATTTTCGGTCTCTGTAAATTGACAACGTTACATATGTCGGAAGATTATGCTTCGGTTTCAATCTTCGAATCCGATACAAAAAAACAATAAAACATAAATTGCTTGACTTTAAGAATGCTTTGCTAATAAATAAAAAAATTTGAAAACTAATATCTTGTTAGTGTATTTTTGGAATTAATTACTAAGATTATCTTATTCATACAAAATCGATTGTTATATCGTTAAATACGCTTGAGAAGAATCGGAAAGTTGCGAGTTTCTCTTCCGACGAACTTTTCGAATTTATCGGAAACGAACGAATGCTCGCTGACATAAATCCTTCTCGAAGATAAAACGCTGATAATATAAGAACAATCATCTGTCGATCCTCTTGTCACGCAAACGGGCAGAGACTGTCTGAGCTACTGCCGATATCATTCCGAGATTCCTCATTAGGAATTCCACACACTCGACTGCTACCAGAAGCGGTGCGCCGTAGCTCTTCGAGCGATTTCGCAGGCTGCTTGCCACGTTGAACGTAAGGCCGCGACTTAACGGAATTAACGACAAGCTACGCGCTCGGAGGACGCTTTGAGGGCGGCCGCGAATCGGGTAAGGGGAGAGCGGTCCGGGGGTGGATTTTGATAACATGTGACTTTATCTGGAATTTCCCGGCGCGCAGGTAGTCTGTTTACTTAAGATAATGGCGAGGCGGAGTGCTTGGGCGTGGATGGAAGCCTGGCGGAGCGAAGGCAAAGGGATATTTCACCAGGCAATGTTGAGTCTCCGCGAGCGAGCGGGTAAGACCGGGAATAAGAGCAGAGAGGAGCGGTAGGATGAAAGGGGATGAAGTTGAAGGTTGGGGCAGGCAGGCGGAGAGGGGGGATGGCACACGCTCGAGGTGGCGAAGAGGTGTAAGGGTAAGAGTGCTAGAGCGGAGAACAGGAGGGGCGGAAGGGGAGAGGGGAGGCGGGTTGACGGCGGGCGAGATTCTCTCTCGGTAAGGCTACAAGAACTTCATTTTCCGAGCCATTACGCCCCGTACCACTGCGACCGTCCTGAAAACCCCCTTTACCCCCTTAAATTAATTTATATCGAAATTTTAAATGACACTCATCGGCCCGAGCAATAAATAACGTTGCCGCGACCGCCTGCGGGGTTGCGAGCCCCCTTTCTTCTTCCCCAGCACGGTTTCCCGTGTCCTCTTCGTCGCTTTTTCAACGAACCGCCGGCCGTCACGCCCGTAGATCTTTCTGTCTACAAAGTTCAGCGGCGAAATAGCGTGAAGATGTATCGCGAAAAATCCTAATCGGGCGACGTGTTTATAATCGGTATCACCTATTCGTAAACATAATTTATGTCGAAATTAACGTAAAATGGATTTATGTTAGACTACATCAGTGGTAACTATAATCTATTCTTTTCATTTTTTAATAATAAATTATTTATAAATTATTACTTTATAAAAGATGTTATCTTACTTTTGATATATAATAAAAATCAAATGTATAATGTGATATGCATTTCGAAAATGCATTAAAAAAATTGTTGAATATTGTTAATTTGATTAACTTGTATTTATGAAAATTGTTAACTCGATATTTTTTAAATATATTCCTTAATTAAAGTCTGTTAGAACAAGTAGAGTTTTCAGAGAAATATTAAATATATAATGCAATAACATAAAATTTCATGTTTTAATCAAAATTATTTTATAATAGAAAAATATTGATATTTTTTAATGATATTCATAAATTTATAACACAATATTTAGAATGATGTTTTACTCGAATCTTCGGTTATGTGAAAACTACGATTAATACTATTTGCTATAAATTAAAAACAGTAATTATCGTTATTTTATGCTTTTGACCGTTTATAAAATGTGAAGTGCATTTCGCATCGAAATTGCTGGGACACGAAATATCATCGGGACCACGAATGCAGCACAGGCAAAGTGTTCGCTCGGGCGTGCGAGAAATCGGCGACACTTTGCGCTGATACTGCGACGTATTATAACGAGCCTCTTTTATATAATAATCGCCGTGACGTTTTGCAGAATTGGTTCTTTTGTAAAATCGGTCTGCTTGCGCTGTTACGCGCGTTCCAGCAGCTTAGTTTCCAGCTCGCTTGGTTTTGCCAATGCGAAATTTCGTCGTTATGAAAACCACAACTGAGATCATTATTCTTAACGCGAAATCATACGCGACGATTTTCCGCTTTAAAAAGTTGTTTAAATCGTGAGTTGTCCGGAAAAGGAACGATAGCGTGGACTTTTATTTCTCGTTTCATAGTATGCATGGTATTTAAAAAATTATTATTGCACAAAAAAAGAGAAAATATATTATTTACAAAAAGATAAGCGATAGTTAGATCGTAAATTATTTTCTTGTTGCGTGAGTTTTTATTTATTTTGTGATAATAGTAGAGCATCAATATTATAGTAATATTATAGTAATGACAAATTCTTAATTATCCAAATATTAAATAATAATAATTGGATATAACTCTTATACTGTGATTATTGATTTTACAGTATTATTTACATTCATGAGTTACTGCATTAGATTTTACATAATATCGTTTTTTCGTTACCAAGTCATTTTTTTTTATTGAATATTAATAATAATTTTACGATGAAAAATATCATCTCGCCCACGATGTAATGTCATCGATTTGCATTGTCACGTTCCAACTCGATCGATTTCTCGCATAGATTCGCAAATGTTTGAAAAGGTCCACGCGATTTTCTGTTGCCGACGTTAACAATTCGCTTTACTTTGGCACGATTGCGTTTACCTGTCCGATGTTTGCGCATAATTATCTTTCACCAACGGCGAAGAGCGATGAGATCGCTTTGGATGCTCAGATGATGGAGAAAGCGCTAATGACGCAAAATATTGACAGCGCTTGATGTCCAAGATGTATAGAATATATTGCATAATTTAGTTATAAGCGTTGTGTAGTTGTAAATGCATAGAAAAACAGTTTGGACAATTAATTGAAAATTTTAATTAATTTCTAAAATTGTAATGTACGTTTATATCCAAACTGATTTTTGATTGATTAAAACGACAATAAAAAATCGATTAAAACGAAAACCTATATGTAAAACTAGAATTAACTAATTAATTTATGCAGTTTATTTTGTACATCTTCGACATTAAGCGTTTTAACGTGCTTTGCAGCAACAAGCAACTGCATAATTTATAGATACTAAAATGAATAATGCTACAAAATTTTGCGCAATCAAAAGTTGATATTAAAATAAAGGCTAAGCTTATATTCATATTTTTTAATACAATATTCACAATATAATTATTTAAAAAATTGGTGTTGTATTTCTCTTGTTAATATCAAAGAGTTTGTTTGGTAAAGATGTATTTTAACTCGCTTAAGATTTGTAGCAGCTAATCGTTATGTTATCGCAAGAATTTTGCAATGTTTTAGAAAATTACGAGTCATCCTATGAACGTTTAAATATAACTATATTATCTAGCTTATTGTTATGTTATCGCAAGAGTTTTGCAATGTTTTAGAAAATTACGAGTCATCCTATGAACTTGTAATGATGATTTGTAATTTTCTAAAACATTGCAGAACTCTTATGTTATCTGTTATGTTATCGCAAAAGTTTTGCGATGTTTTAGAAAATTACAAATCATCCTATGAACTTTTAAATATAACTATATTTAAAAGTTCATAGGATAATTCGTAATTTTCTAAAACATTGCAAAACTCTTGCAATAATATAACAATGATAAGCTGCTACAAATCTTAAGCTAGTTAAAATGCATCTTTACCAAAGAAACTCTTTGATATTAACAAGAAAAATACAATACTAATAACTATACTTAAAAATAACTATATTTAAAAGTTTATAGGATGATTCGTAATTTTCTTTCAGTATAATTATATTTAAAAGTTCATAGGATGATTCGTAATTTTCATTCAGCAACTGCTCGCGAATATTCAAAGTTGTGACTTTTGAATATATTTATCCGTTGCTATACGAATTGTGAATAATAATTATGTTCGTGAAGTTTGGTTATAACGCATTTTTATAACGATCTATTCTCTATTGTCTTATCTTATGTTTTCGACGATTAATCAGAGAAAGCGAGATAAGATACTCGTTTATGACTGAATACGAAGAGTGTTATTCATGCAGGAAATCATTGCACTTATGCAAAGTGCATTCTAGTGAAATGGAAGATTCTTGTCAAATGAAATTTCGTAATCGCATTATGCGAGAGCCTGTCATTTTCGCTTCGAGGCATACGTCGACAATGTGACGTTTTCAAAGTCGATAATTACATCATGCTTTTATTCCGATGAAAAAAGTTCGTCGTGAGATAATCAGAAAAATCTCAATATACACATATACACACATACACATTAGACTTGGTGAAATGCGACTGATGGATGCATATTTCCATCTGCTTCATGAAATGTATTCAAACTTTATTGTGATATTGATGTTCACATGCAAGTATTTTTGAAATACTTATATTTTTTAATTGGCTATGGCATGGAAAATTAAAGTCTAGACACTCTACATTTATATATTATTTTCTTATTTTGTGCTTTAGATTTTTACCATTCTTATAAAAATATATGCTCACTATAAAAATAAAGTAGCAATTATCGCAAAGGATTCTCTTACCGGTCGTCGATTCCTTGTTCTAATCCTAGAATCACTAGCACTCTTTCACTTTCCGTTGTGAACAAACGTATTAATATTATCGAAACGGTTTTATCACGCGCAAATTGACGCATGTAAGATGATTAATATAACTAAAAGCTACCAATCAAAGACAGGAGTGATGCAGCATTTTCCGACTGCAAGTTAGCACCGAAAGCGAACGTTGTTTCTTCATGAGGCTATCTCATGAGACTGCTCGTCGAGGTCAAATTACACGCGTTTTATACCTCCCATCCGGTCATGAGAGTAAGATCTACATCAGTCAGTTAAACAATTATAAATCACGCGTTGTATTCTTATTTTTTTCTCTGCACAAGTGATTTATTTATATGTATTTGCATACGGGCATTATGCTTGCATTCAGTGATGCATTCATTATAACCTGAATCGCGTATACTTTTTCTAAAACGTTGATCACATTGAATACACAACTATAACAATAAGTCCCTGATTATAAAAAAAATTGTGTTTAATAAAATATATTTTTTCTTAGTTGAAATAATTTTATAAAAATAATTTACGTACGTGAATCATAATTATTGAATATACTTCTATGATAATATTATGATAAAAGATATAT